TAAAAAAAAAAAAAAAAAACGGGGGGGGGGGGGTTGCTACAAATGCGCATTAAGCTGCCCTAATGCGCAGAAGCAAAAGCACACACTTTTTTAGTGATGCTTAATGTGAAACCTATTGTTAGGATGGTAAAACCTTGCATTTTCCCGCCCTTTTTTATGCTGATTTATGGTAAGCCCTTACATTGGTCTTGCAGTGGATGCACTGTTTCCTAAAAGGTCTTGGTCTTGCAGCTGATAAATACATTGCCTATGCCCAAGTTAAAGATTTAACCAGGCATAAGACTTAGGATGCTAAAGTTAGCAGAAGTGTAATGTTTGTTTTACATGTTTGTTTACTTAGGGGCTTTAAATAGTTAATTGTTTGTCTAATCATTTGACTGTTTGTTTAGTTGTGGAATAGAGGAACTCAAACCAGACAGGGGAGGGAAACCAATGGTATATCAAGAGGGAAAATGCAAAAGTAGGCTTTTAAGATGAGTAGCCGCAAGTGACCAAAGGTAGTAGGGGTGATGAGCTCGTGCATGCACAGAGTGGAAATTTTCATGGTAATGGGTTAATGCATGAAAAATTCCGTGAACAGGGGTAGAGCCATGGGAAGAGGTCAGGGGAAGAGACTGGGCATGGTTTAATGCTAATGAGTGTAGACTGGAAGGTATAAATGTATGAATGCAATGATGTTATGGGCCGCTCCCCTGCTGGATGGGAACCCGCCCAAAGTTGCCTCCACTTCAATAAAGTTGTTGAACGACGCAGTGTGTGCTTGTGTTTGCCCCATGAGTGATCGTGTTCATGATCCCATGGGAAAATTGATTTGTTGGTTCCCCTAGTTGTTGGGTGTCATGTGGGGTTAAGGTTTAACACCTATTTTACTGCACATTTGCATATTTGAATATTTTTTTATGCAGTACTTTAATGTGCAATACAATAGGCTACTGCACATTAAAGCACATGTGCCCTGGTGGTATAACACACATACATTCCTGCCTATAGGGTGTATATGAATATGTAGGTAGTACATAAAACTGGTCGCACGCTGTCTCATCAAAAAGTTTCTCTTCTTAAAACATACACAATCTTTCATTAAAGGTTAACAGGTCAATTATCTCAGTTTAGGGAGATAATTGTTAAAATCTTTAAATGTAAAACTGAGATTGAAAGTTAAGGGGAGTATAAATAATCCAGATATCCTAGCTTAATTTCTAATGTATCATTACCGAGTAAGAAGAAATGCTAAAGAAAAATAGTGCAAGACTAAACTCTGAGTCAATACTGTATTGATAAGAGGAAGTCAGATTGCCTTTTCAGTCTGAGAAGACTTCAATGGAATGTTTTAACTGCAAAAAAGGAGCAGCTGTCTTTGGCTGTGTATGTGCTTCCAAGTTATGCTGAAAATGTTTCATTCCAGACATTTGAGGGAAGACTAGCAGAAACAAAACTAAAACATATTTTCTACTTCAATATTCTGAAGATTTTGTATCTGGCGAGCCCTGTATGCTTGCCATACCTGAATTGGAAGGATGGATATTTTCTAACATGTTCTCAAATCTATGACAAGCTTTTTTCAGACAGCATCTGGATACAAAGAACAGCAAATGGAATAAAATAAAATAACACAAAGAATAAAGAATGAGTTGAGAGAAGAAGGAGACACAACCAGTTTAAATGCTGAGCTAGATAGACTGTTTAAAGATTATTAAATGATTTGTGTTTTAACAAGCTAAAATGTTTAACTTCATTTAGGTCTGACTACAGGGAAGTCATGCAATTCAATCCATTTCCAATGACTGTCACAAAAATGTACTCCCCAGTGAGGAGTCCAGATGCAGCACTGTGACCCCTAGTCGTATTCCAGACCTGTGGATCTTGAGTGATGACAGAAATTCTCTTTTCTAAAGCAGAATATAGTTTGGATGCAGCTGCTAGCTCTATGCCCCAGCACTGGAGGTTGGAGTCTGTGACCTCTCACAGGGTGTGTTTCCATAGAGGTCTGCAGAGAGAGTACTTTCTCTGGGGGGTGCTTTCTCAGGGGGACAGGGTGCTTTCTCAGGGGGGTGACAAGTAGGGAAGCTGAATGGGGAGCATGACTTAAAGCCACTGAACCTGAGCAAAAACTCCACCTCTCAAACACAAAGCAAAGGGTTGTTTTAGTGTTTATTTATACAGTTTAGTGATGCTATTCCCAGATCCTTTCTGTATTTTTCCAGATGCTCCAGGTTTACTATTGGGAATTTTTATGAGAAAGGCCTGAGTTAAAACAAAACAGAGAACTTCAGGCTGTGGGGCCTGGTTACATTTGGTTATCAATACTAAAGATTCAAGAGCAAAGGGGCTAGAGCTATTCTAATGCCAGAAGGTCTATGAAGACTTCCATTTTTCTTTCTTAGTGAGTACAGTAGTATTCAGCATTCCCTCTAGGCTGCATGGCATGCACAGCCATGCAGGTGCACTCATGCTGCACTGCCAGGAGTGCCTGCATGGACATGCACAACACTCAGCTTAGAGGGAATGCTGGTAGTGTTGATATATTTCATCCTATGATACTACATTGGGAAAGCCCTTTGCATTTATTGTAGCCCTACTCTACACTGTGAGCCAGCTGTTCAGCAAAAACCCTCAGCTACCCTTAGCATAGGGCTTTGTTGTACTGAGTCCTCCTGAGCCAATTAAAACTTGACATTTTGCACCCTTTCTAATTAAAATGCAAATGAAGGGATGAATTATGTAAAAAACAGATTATGCAGGTTAATTAAGACGAAAACATACGTAGACCTTGAGTTTACTGTTAAGTGGATTTTAAACATAACCTGCTGACATAGTTGAAAATAGAGCAGGAACACAGTATGCTTCTGCAGTGGAAATACCCTTTGTCTAGAACAAATGTACCAAGGTCCCTGAAGAGAACAGAGGTATAATTATTCATCTGTTTATAGAAATTTGAGATAAATTAGCCAAGATCCAAACGTGTTTCTTTCCTGCACTAACAATTGTACCTTACCCTTCTGCTTCCAGCTAATACCCTTCTCTGTCTTAAACTTCCTGTCTATGGATTTGGTTGGTAACAACACTAATACAATGGATGAAGCCAAGTTCTTGTAGTCCTCAGTGTATGCAATGCATTTGTAATTCCCAGCCCTAGTAATTGGACATGAGCTTCTGAACAAAGAGAAGATATGTAGGCTGCTTCTCAGACCACTTGCCCACCTCTCCTTTGTGGGAGAAAAAGAGAAGCAAAGGCAAAGGAAGTTAGAGAAACTAGAATGACCTTGTCTACATCAATACACTAGAAGAAGAGTGGTGTTGAAAACTTGGAGAGGAATAAAAAATGCAATGATCATATGAACTGTAGATCTTTGGTAGTCCCTTTACAAGGTAGAGAATTTTCCAGCCCTTGAACTAATTCATTTATTAGCACTATATAGGCTGCATTTAATTGTTAGAAAGATATTTAATTTGACAAGATGCTTTTTGTTAGCTAATGCAATAAAATGCTTTAAAATTATTTATAATACAAATCCAGTTTTTCAGAATACGTGTGATTACAAAATATATATAAACAAGAAATTAGGCAGGACTTTGACATATGTAGAGAAGAGTACTTGGAGGAAGGTATTGCATGAGATAAAGCGTTTGGAGGGAATATGTATGGTTGTGCCTAGGATCTTACATGAAGTTGTAGCACCACTGTGATTAATTTTCTTAATAAATAGACAAAAGTATTTTTAAAAGTAAGGAATTAATTCGTACTACCACTTGCCATACTCCTTGTGATACAGAGGGACGAAATAGCCTCATGGTGCAAGTATATGGGTCTCAGGGTATCAGTTCACAGAACTGTTAGGGACTTCCCTTATAAAAACCTGTGCCAAAGTGAATTGCCCAAGTCAAAATTATTTAAAACATTTAAACATATAAATAAGTGCTTTTGAAAATACTATCAAAGACCTTTGAAAATTATACTTATTTGCATCTTTAGGCACCTAACAAAATGCAACTTTTTATCTCTTAATGTCAGGTCCTCATATATAAAATGGGGAATAATCATACTTTCTTTCTCCTACTTTTTCATTTCTCTATTTAGACTTATTTTCTGTTGCAAGCTGCTTCTTATTATGAATATGGAAATAAGAATATGTAACTCAAAAATGGAACCTTAATTTTTGTTGGAGTATCTAAGTATTACATTGAAAGGCTCCTTTTCCTTCTCAGTAAAGATGTGGAACACTATTTACAGAGCAGGACTTACTCATCAAGATAATGAGTAAGAATATTTCCTTGCCTCATGCTAGAATACTAAATTCACTTTCTTGACATCTTCTATCCGAGGTCCTTGAAAAATGCACTAGCTGAAGCTCATAGATGGTGTAAAAAGGGAGAAAAAAATACAAGTTACCATGATCTAGTTATTATTTTAACCCTGACAGGTTGGGAGAACATGACTTGGGGCATGTATTTAGGAGATTAAAGCCACGATGGGTATGGCGATGTAGTGATCACATAAGTCTACATGTGACCAACAGCTACTTCACCGTAGTGGCACACTCCTCCATTTTAGCAGTCCACTATGGCAAAGTAGTGGCTAAAACTAACCATGCACTGCACACACAGCACAGTATGGGTGGTTACTGCACCATGCTTTAGGTGCAGCACACATGACACAGTAACAACGTTGTGTGCACAATGTATTTAACTACCTAATTGAATTTAAACAGTGTCTGTTACCTGCCAAGCTACCCAGATGATAATTCATTTCTGATAGAACAACAACAATTTTTTCTTACAAGGGCAAGCAGAGAGGCCTTAAACAATTAGAGGAGAAAGTTATTTTTGCTTTTCTTTTGCCATTCAAGTTTCATTCCATCTGGTTCCAACTAAATTTTGCCATCTTTCTTTTTCTGGGATACTTTCACAAATGAAGTAGCATCTTTCCCAGAACTTGAAACTTACTCAATGACCTGCATATAGGCACTGCCCATTTCTCAGTGCTGGCCAAGCTTGAGAAACAATGCACCTGGCCACAGTCAGATTAGAAGTTCATAAACTAGTCCTCAATCCCTCCACTGATTTCATGCAGGAACTTAACAAAGCAAACATGTCACTGATAAGCAGAACC